TGTTAAGGATCTTCTGAAAGTGGGCACAGGACTTTTCCTTTCCTGCATGCTGGCTCTCGCCCCTGCAGACTGAGTAAGCCCATAACAGTGTGGCTTCCTCGGGGTAACTCCCTCCGACTCTCACACTCCTGGGTCTTGGCTGGGATTTGGATGGACACATCCTCTGATGAAACGGTGAGCTCTATGAGGGCAGCAGAAAGGCCAGAACTTCTTTGCAGTCTCTCAAAATGCCCGGCACAGTCCTGAGGCTGCAGTGAACATTTGCTAACACAACTGTGTTGAACTCAACCCAGTGTTGACTGAGCTGTACTGGGTGGGTCACTGTGGCCAGCCTTTGGGCGAGGGTGTTAGGGGAGCCTAACATGATTGAGAGAGGAAATTAACCTTGGCCCTACCCACACTAAGTGGAAAAAACACACCCAGGGCTACGTGTTTTTGCTGATTTGCTCCCTTAATCTCCACCAGGTAGAGGGTATCATTTCCTGTTTCTGGAGAAGGAAACTGAGGTTCCCAAAGGAGTCATTTACTCCAGGTTCCCATAGAAGAAGAGAAGCACGGAGGGCAAAGCCACATCTGCACTGCTTCCTCTTCACCCATCAGCGCCCATGCTCTCTACCTGCTCACAGGTCTCAGTGCAAGGTTCAAATATACTTCTGTTTGATCAAGCAAATAAATGAATTAATACAAAATTGCTACAACACAAGACAAATCATGATTTGTATTCTAACAGAGGCACGAAGTATTATAGGCATGCCAAGAAACAAAGCGAATTGTCAAAGGACCCAGGGGATGTACCCACTAAGGGGTTGATACAATAAAATAGGAAGCCAGAGACCCAATTGCAAAGGAAGTGGAGATGATTAGGTCTCCAACACAGGCATCTCCTGTTCCATCACCAGCTCAGTTGGAAACCTCCTGGTGGGGACCTCTCTACCGCACAAGGCCATCCGACTGCGGATAGTTCTCGATGTCAAGGTTTTCTTTACCCTGACTCTGAAACTACTGCCCTGGATCTGCTTAGCCTAAGTCTTAGCCTTAAAGGATTAACCAAGTGAACTGGTTGGTTGAGTGAAGGTCCATGATTCCTGGGAGAACACTGCACATTCCTGACTGTTTGGTGTTTCCACACTTTCCCTAGGCCATTGTGGGAGGAGGGAGGTGCCTGCTTGGAGAAGAGGAAACTGGCTTTGGTAGAAATGCTGGGGGTGGGGGCAGGATAAAGGAATAGCTACATCTCATTTGGGCTGCCTTTGGTATAAAGTACTAGAGAAATGTGAAACATGGAGACAAAATAAGAACAAGATGGGATCTTTGCAAAAAGCACCTTTAAATCAATCCACTTCTGAGGTTCCCAGAACAGAGAAAACTGGATTCTTTGGGTTGATTTCCATGTTTGTTCCGTTTCAGGGACTTCTTGAATTCCAGCTGGGCCAGGAAGGTGCATGGCCAAAATATCCAAAGAATGTCTCTTATTATAGGATGTTCAGCCCAATTTGCACAACCAGGAAGTTTTGATACTTCTGGTAACATTTGAATATAAAACTAAATGTTCAGGGTGGAGTAACTTAGTCCTAACCAAATTTGGGGATCTTGCATGAGGAGAATGGACGAGAGAGATTTGAAACTGTTAAAGTGGAGAGCTTATACAAAATAAAAAAATCAAGTTTTAATCAATTTTCTGGACTCCTTTAGCACAATGACTGTTTCTTCTTTCTAGCAGTCACGGTGAAACCCTGCCAACTTACTGGGACAGGGCTTGTCCTCCCCAGAGAATTCTCGTGCCTAAGTCTTGTACATGGACATGGCCAGAGGTTGGGTCTTTCTCCCCTTTTTTTGTTTCTTCCACAGACTCCAGCATAGAGCCAGGCACATGACTTCAATAGACACTTGTATTTCTCATTTTTATAGCATCAGGGGAAGACAGAGTAGGACAAAACTGGTTTATAAAGCGAAAATGGAAACAACCATAGTCATTTCATCACTGCCCAAGTTCATAGACGTCCCAGTGAGCACCAAGGGGCCAGGGAATAGGACCCTCAGGACAGGGAGTGGAAGCAGCCTGAACTCAAAACTGTGGGTAGTGCCCATGAGTCAGGCAGAGATTTCACATACCTCACAGGGTCTGCACAGTGACAGCAACTCTACGATCTGTCCACCTAATGATTCTTTCTGCTTGTTTCCCAGGGGTACTTGCCAGGAATCCAGTTACTTTCAACTTCTGAACATGATCACATACATATTCCTAAGCTTCTGCTATCATCTTCCATGACATCCTTCCAATCCTAGATTCTCCACGTATGGGCTATAGGACCTTGGGGAAGCCACTCCGCCTCTCCGTTTCTCCAAGATGGGCAATACTTCTTAGCTTGAGGAATGGCAAGGGGATAGGCTATGAGATGTATGAGTGTCCAGTATGATGGCTGGTGGACCTGGAGACCCCCGGTCCCCTCCACTACTCTCCTGTGTCTACTTTGGTTCCTACTCTCTGGAATCCTGCCCCTACACTGCCTATTTTTGTAGGAATGTTTACGTGTTTTTGTGTGTACATGTATGTGTGTGTGTGTGTGTGTGTGTGTGTGAGAGAGAGAGAGAGAGAGAGAGAGAGAGAGAGAGAGAGAGAAAGGCAGGGCTTAATTGTGTAGGGGGAAGGTGCATCTAAGTACTTTCCAACTCCTCTCAAGCCATCAACTTCTTCACTGGAGTCCCTGACAGGGTGAGAATTAGCTATCAGTCTCCCCTAATCACAGCACAAGGTAATGAGCGCCATGGTTATACCTCGTCCCCCTCTGCTGTGCTATCAGAAGGGAGCTAGTTTCCACTCCACAAACACCCTTACTCAGTATTACATAGGCTATGTGTGTGTGTGCACGTGTGTGTGTGTGTGTGTGTGTGTGTGCGCTCACGATGGGGGTGCAGTGTGTGAATGATTTCTAGGCATTTGCTTTCTGAGGGGGACTTCAGGAGACTGTTCAACAGCCCTCCAGACCGCCCTGCCTGACCCTGTACCCAGCCTGCACATACACACCCTCCTCGACCCGGTATTCTCCAGTGAGTTGAACTCATTATGGCAAATTTAGTTACAGCTGAAGTCTCCTTGTAACAAAGATTATGTCCAAGCCCAGAGTAATGGAACCTAGTCGATTTCATTAAAATAAAATTGGTTGCAATGAATAATTCAATAGGATGATTTTGTTTTCTCATCTCCTCTTTGTAGTATTGATAATGATTTTTTTAAATTGGATTTTTGTTTAGGAAGACATAATTGCCCATAATTCCTGACAGCCCGCTCCTTACCAAAGTGGAATAATTGCCCCATGAAGTCCCTTTCAAACGCTAAGACTGGAAAAGTCTTTCTCTCCTCTTCTCACATTAGTAGCAATAACCTTTGTGTGATTTTTAAGCACAGCTGCTACCTCACTTCTTGCTCATGTGAGAGTCTGAGTGTGTTAATAATTCCCTTGTTTGAATGATGTTTTTGAGACATTTCTAGGAAGGGTTGCCTGTGCTGAATTTGGAATTCCTGGCTCTACTGCCAGCCAGCCCTGCCAACCCTGAGCAGGATGTTCTCTGTCATACAGATGTGGTTCTTGAACATTGTCTCTTAGTGTTGTTCATCGTATGTAGCAATGTGTACACGTATGAGTGTGTGTGCACGTGTGTGAATCTATAATCAATTAAACACACATTTCCTGAGCAGCTAGTCTTATCTGGATCTTGTACTTGAAGAAGGGGACAGAGATGACTAAAACTCAAAACAGTTATGAAAGTACCAGCAGCCTAATGGGGGAGCCAGACACACGAACAGATTATTAGAGTTTGTGCAATTGGGTGTAGCCAAAGATAAGTTCCTCAAGTACAGACATGGCACAGGGGTAGGATGAGGCCTAGACATTCATTCATTTACCCATTCATTCATTCACCAGGCGGGCACTGTCCATGAGAAGCATCAGGGAATACTGTGCTCCCATTTCTCTCCACACACTCTCCTCAGGGCAGTCATGAACAAATGCAAAGGAAGAAACAGGGAATCTAATAAATGTAAACATAAGCAAATGGGTAAATGAGAAATGATCAGATAAACACTATAAAATAGGTAAGTGAATGTACCCATCTTGTACCTCATCCAATGGTTTTTTACTGGGCCCCAGAAGAAGGTCACATCTCTCTTTTATCTAGAAATCAGGTCTATCCCCCTGACCCTGAATCAGGGAAACAGTATAATGACTCATCTACAAGGCCAGGCGGCAGGCTGGCCTCAGAGGCCGCCACTGGGCCAGGCGGTCAGAAGCACTGAGTCGTGTCTCTGGGAAATGGGAGTCTCGGAAGAAGGCAGGTGCTTGCTCAGCAGGATAATTGGAAAGGGGGCTCCGGGGACAGCACAGCCATCCCTAGAATCACATAAGCTCTGGTGGCCCCAACACTCTTAGTCCCTCAACTGAGCGGAGAGTCCTTTGGGGAAGAACCCTGGAACGTAAATAGTGCATTAGGGGACTGGGGAATGAGTCACAGCTTTTTAGAGTTGGGAAGGTCCTTGGAGATCAAGCTGATCTACTCTCTAATTTAAAGATGGGGAAATATGGGGGCCAGAGAGGTGGGGAGACTGGTCCAAGGCCACACAACAAATTCACAGGAGAGTGTTCAAGGAGTACCCGCCCCCCCCACACACACACACAATAAATTGTGGGACTCCCCCGAAAGAATGTGTTCTTCCCCACTGAATTCCAGTGGTATGTCCAAAATGGAATTCTTTCCTAAATGTGAATTATAACAGGTAGAGACATAGGAGGACAGTCATTACCCTGATGTTCCTTCCCTGTGCTTAGCTACTCAACATCTAATCCCAGAGAAATGGTACTCTTGAGGCTCTGGAATTACATTTGGCTAGAGGTATGGTCACATGGCCACATCCAATGACACTACCTTCGAGGCGGGAAGCTCTGAGGGACAGAGTAGAGATTCAGAATATCGGTAGGAAATGCCACACATGGCTGGCGTCTTACCTGGGATGCTGCCGGCTGGCCAATGATGACCCAGCCTGGGCATTGCTGGTCTTGATGGGAAACTGAAGCATTGGATGCCCACTGATCTAGGAACCCTTGGGGCGTGTAGACACCACAGTCCTTGATGCTGGTTTTTTGTTCAAACTCCTCACATACCCCATCACCATCGTGGAAATAGCACCGGCTGGGTTCATCTGCAGGAGAGACAGGGAAGGGGGAGAACAGAGAGATATTGGTCCTTTGGTCTCAGCCATCAGTAGCAGCTGTGGAACTGGACCAAAAGAATCGTCAGCACTGTTAAAGCCCATCACTGATCATCACAATGGATTATTATTCAGCCTTCAAAAAAAAAAAAGGAAATCCTGCCATATGTGAAAACCGGAGCGGACATGGAGGGCATTATCATAAATGACATAAGCCAGTCATGAAAGGACATATACTGTGTTAATAATCCTGTACTGTACACCTAACATTTTAAGAGGGTAGATCTTACGTGTTTTTTACTACACACACACACACACACACACACACACACACACACACACACAAACTCACAAACACGTCCACCTTCATTACCCCAAGTGAGCCCACAGCAAGCTGGTGAGGGAGGCATTGTTATTTTAATTATCATGTTAGTCTTTCAGATCAGGAAAATGAGATCTCACGCATCATTAATAATCTGCCCCAGGTCACACAGTGTGTTAATGCCAGATCCTGGTTTCGAACTCAGGTTTTCCCTTTCCAGGTTCTAGGGACATTACCTGATGTCACAGAACGACTCCAGTCCCAGCTCGGTAACTAGATTGCTCTGTTACTTTAGACAGGACTCTTCCTCTCTGGCCTCAATTATACTTACTATAGAGAAGGGGGTTAGACCACTGGGATGCTAGGAGCCCTTCCTATCTAATTCTCTAGGTTTTAAGGGCTTGTTAGATACCTTGGGCATTTCAGGTAAGCCCACCAAGCCTTGCCCATTCTGCAATAATGGGCTTCATCTTCTAAGGGGTGACTTTATTTCTAACTGACGGAACTGAATCAGCTTGTGAAGTCAGCACTCGCCTACAACACCTTCAAGAAGCCTTCCCCGTAACAGAAAGCGCCCGGGTCAAGCAGAAATAAGGCTGGGATTTCTAGGATGCTGACTATCTGAAAAAGGAGTCTGTGAATTCAGGGGCAGCAGAATGTTGAGCCCCTTCCAAGCTCCAAAATCCCTTGTTTATTTCTGCAGTTTACATAGTGAAATACTATCGAAAGAGCCAGAATAAATCAATTCATTACAATTCAATTATTTGAGGATGGGTCGGAGCCAGTGCGGACTCCAGTGACCACTAGCATGCCTGGCAGTTCAAGTGAGGGACGAACACAGGCTCAGCACTTCTCTGGAGCTCCAGTGTCCTGGTCAGTGTGGCCAACTCACAAAGAATAAAGCCCAGGCCCAATCCAAGAATGACCAGCCATCAATGCAGACTTCACTCATTAGCAACCCAAGACAGGGAATTGCAAAGAGGATAGGTTTTGGCATCAGGTAAAGCCAGTTTCCAATGCTAACTCTGCCATATATAAGTTGTGTAAGACTGAAACAAAATAACCTGTCTTCACTGAACTTCATTTCCCTCCTCCAAAAAGGAATGGAGATAATACTTACCTTGTGTGGTTGCAGTGATTTCCTGAGATGGTATGTACAATGCCAGTGCCTCTCCCATTTTATCTATTGGAACCCTGAGAGCCCCAGCAGGTGAGGTGTTCAAAGAGCTAGAAGAAGAAGCCTGGCCTTTGACACCTAGCAGAGGGGTTTCTTTGTGTGGTATCTACAGAATAATGACTGCACAGCCTCCTGTAGATACGGTCATAGGGTTACCTGACTCTTGGTAACACCTTACTCCTCTTCTAATATGAAGACCAGTAAGGTAAGATTGTAGAAGGTCTATTCTTTAAGAAGACAATTTATTCCCCCCATCAAAGAGACCTCAGAGTGTCAGGAGTTGGGGCTAGAGTTGGAGTTCTCATGAAAGCTAATTTCTTCCTGATTATGCTTAAGACCTTAATAGATGTCTGCCTAGAATCAGCAGAAACTGGGAATGGAGGAGAGAAAGAGATAGATATAGGTGGGTAAATAAGTACCTAAATAAACAGATAATTAATATAGACAGATTGATATAGACAGAGTTAAAAGAGAGATAGGAGATAGAGCTAAAGAGAAGAAGAAGAGAGAGGGGAGTGGAAAGATGCCTGGTTTCTGCCCCAAGATCTTGCTGACAAAGCTACTCTGAGCCCCTTTTTTTGAATAACATCCTTGGACTCTGCTATTCATTTTTCTTGCCAGAGTCCCAGGGGCCCTTCAGCTACATCTGCCCACCTTCATCTGGGGAATTCTCTCTCCATTCCTACTCCCATGCCTCATGCACTGAAGGGAACATGGTGAGGAATGGAATACAAATGTGTGGCCAGGAAAAACAAAGGTAGTGACAACAAAACAAGAGAACGAGACTGGCCTTCTTGTTTTCATTACAATTTACTTAGTGCTTCTTGAATGCTTTATGCTGGGAGGGGAGCAGATTGTAGTGAAAAGAGTTTGAAGCTAAATGATCACCTTGCTGCCTGCCTTCCATGTAGTAGCTAGGTAGCATTGATAATAACACATCCCATTGGGAGGGGTACTGTGAAAACCTATTAGACTCTCAGTAAGTATCTGTTGAACGAATGAGTAACTAAAATTTGGCACCTCTGATGCATATACTCTTGTCCAAATATAGTTTAAATGCTGCGCTCTTTGAAAAAAAAATTTTAACACTGGGTGTTAGGGGGAAGGGGAAGTTATTGAGACACCAGTGGCAACTAGCTTACAGGGGGTTGCAGGGACAGGCTGGTTCCCAGCTCATCCTCTCCTGACATGAGGGAACCTCTCTTGACATTGAGGGAACCCCTCAATTCAGATTCAGTCCCTTTCATGTGGTGACAGGTTTAGAAATCTGCTCTATCCAGTGAGGAGTCTTGATGTGGCTGGGGGGCATTGCCAAGTCTGTCTTCCATGGTTCAGCTTTTACTTGAAAGACACTTTCTTTTCCTTTTGGAAGCAATGAGCTCAGCTCCAAGAGCCTGAGGCCAATGGACTCTGCAAGTGGACAGACACAGCTGATGCTGCTTCACATTACGTAATCTTCAATTTCTGTGGGCCTGCACCATGGAGCTAAAATGCATGCCTCTGCATTCCCGAGGCATGTCCAAGGGACACTGAGACAGACATATATCGTCACCCCTATCTGAAAACTCAGAAAGCCACGCTTCATGGAAATGAGACGAGTTTACCTTGATGTATAAGCAAACATTGGCATTCAAGCTATTGTTAAAAGTTCTCATCCTTGAATTCAGAAACCCTGGATTCAACCTCCTGATCTGCCCCTGGTTACCAGGTAATATTAGCATGTTAGTTCATCTCTCTGTTCCTCTGTTTCCCCATATATAAACTGGAGACAAGATTCCCCTTTAGACTGCCTCAATAAAGGGCTGGGTATGATCAACTACCATAATAGATTTAAGAGATGGGAAAGTGATACAGGTCTTAATGGCCCAGTGCCCAATCTTAAGAGATTTTAGGAGGGAGGGATGTTATCATCCCCAGCTAAGATAGATCCCTATCCTCAGAGGAAAACTGGTGAGGACTCTCACTGCACTTCACCAGTTGTTTCTGAGTATCTGCTTGGTGACTGCGCTGGCACTGGGGATACACAAATGAATCCGACAGGACTCCTCTCCTGCAGCGGGATCACCACTACTTGGAAAAATGGGGGGGTAGCTTCCTGAGAAGATGCTTTGGGGGCAGCATCTTGAAGGATCAAAAGAATTTGTCCATGTTCAGGGAAGAGCATAACTGCATCTTGATCCGTGTGTGTGTGTATGTCTGGCAAGGTCACAGTTCAGGGAGTTCAATGGATCCTGGAGCTGAGACATTGAAAAGCTGATCTGAAGCCAGACTGAGGAAGGACTGCAATGCCCTGTTAAGGAATTTGAACATTATCCTTTAGAGATGGGGAGACCTTGAAGAGTCTCCTGACCAAGAAAGGTGTGTTGTTACCTGTAAGGCTCACAGTCTTTGAGGCAGTGAGGTGTAGACCTGACTTTGCTTAGCAGAGGTTCCATTTACTATTAATTTGACTTTGGGCATATCACTTAGAATTTCTGAACCTTGGTTTCCTCCTCTGAATAATGGTTGAATGATTGATTGTTTAGTATGATGCTCAGATGGCTTGATCATAACAGATGATCAATAACTGGTCTATAATGATGATGATGACCTTGGAGCTGAAAGCAATGGTTTCATTTTACATGAGGGAAGCCGAGGTTCATATGTTGTGGTGACTTATGGAAGCCTTCAGAGAAATTTCCAGTAGACACAGGACTAGACTGATGGGTTTTGAACTCACAATGCAGTGCTCTTTCTATAGCACCATGCTGTCACATCAGACTGGGCTTTCAGTATACAATTCTGGCAACAAAATCATGTTTGACTCTTTACCAAGTTTCGATATTATTTTGTGGAATCTCTGATTTCACTTTTCAGAACAGCCACTAGTGTGAACTAAATATAACTAGTCTGAGAAGCTATTGGGAGTTTACCAAGTCTACAGCCCATTGAGAAAAAAAACCCAAAACAAAACAACTCTCTGCAGATGGGGAGATGAGAGTTTTAAGTAAGAGGAGATGGATTTGGTTTAGGATTCAAGGAGGAAGCAAAGAATTTGAACACAGACTCTTAGATAGGCTACCTTCCTAAGGGTGGATAGATTTACCTGTCTTTCTAAACTTCCTATTTATGAAGATGGGTCAGCTTTGGAGAAATTCGCATCTGTTTCTATTTCCAGAGGGAACAGTGACTGACTGGTATTGGGATAGTCTCTTTTAGTCCAATGATTACTATTTTTTTTTCTATTTTTTAAGCACCAGGAAAAAAATAGTATTTTTTAAGTTCAGCTGTTTGTTTAGGGATAGATCCAACCACAACATGCTTCATGCCACATAACAATTCATCCAAACAACAATATGAAAAGACCAAAATATGCATGATCTTTGTCCAAATAATAGCTCCTTGGAACAGGGGAAACTACAGTGCTTAACCCCTGAAGGTTTGCAAAAGGAAAGCCTGGGGTGTGGGAGGTGGCTCCACTGGCAAATGTTTCCTGTGGAACAGAAATATCGA